AAAGGTTTATTTCAAGTACAGAGTGAAATAATGCAATTGGATTAGGTAACGTATACAAGTTTGTCAGAAAAAAGCACGATTCTGATTATGTGTGTCCAAGAAAGGTCCATTTAAACTGGAGTGGGGTAGAAAAGAGAGTTAGTGGAGTGAGGGCGCATATCTTCTGAAAGAGGCCTAGAAGGCTGCGGTATGTGTTTAACCTAACAAAATGAAGGCTGAGATGGCTGTTTCTGGCTGCTCCTTTAAGGTGAGCCTATGCTGAGGAATGGCTCTCTAGCCTGCCGCAGGCTTAGCAGGCTGTTATCTTTTCAAGCATATCTCCTTTTATCCACCTACAGCCATTTCGGCTTGAAGCATGCTGCTGGTATGTCTCCTGGATGCTGCCTGGATAGCCCTCTTCATCTCGCTCCCCCTCCACGGCTGTCTCTAACTGCTGTTGCAAAACAAATCCTTTCTGTATAAAAGACATTAAACTGGGTAACAGAGCTTCTAAGGTAACGTGACTGTCCCATCCTCAGAGCGAACGTTGCAGCAATACTGACGCCTGTTAAGCCCTAGGGAAATATTGGGGTGCTTGTGGTTTTGGAAACAACTGAAGTCAGTACTAACATATCTGGTTAGTCAAGGTGCCTGTTCCTCATACGTAGCTGATGTGCAATCTGTGGGGTGGGGGACTGGCTTGATGCAGCTTTTTGTGGCTTTTGAGTTTTTTAGACCTGTTGCCCAAGCTACCTGGTGGTCTTGATGCTCCTTGTGACAGATCTGGGGAGGCTTTGTAAAAAGATGTGTGGTGGTGGGAGCGGGGATTAGACAATAACCATCCTACAGTTTTTGAGGTCTTTATCTCTTATATGTGCCTGAAAAGTGTTCATGCTGGTAAGACTTGGTATTGGGGTTTTAAAATAAAAATGTTACTTCATTAAGGCTCATTTTTCCAAACTGTGGTCCATTAGCATATCTCTTCTACATTATCTTTGCTCAATGCTTCTCATTCAAACAAGTTTTGGAGGGGAGAAGAAAACTATATTCTAGACTTCTGTTGGCTTTTAATTTTTTTCTTAGTGAAAAATCCACGGTGAATTAATGTGACACTTCAAGCATAGCTTCCACAGGAAGTCTGAATTTTCCAAGTTCTAAAGAAGATTAGCTCCAAACAAGAAAGTCATCTGAAGTTCAGAAAACTTTCTGCAGTGCAAGGAACTTGACTTACGTGTCTGTCACAAAGCTTTTGTGTTTTATAGAAACCATGCAAGTTGGAAGAGTTCAAGTCCCTCTGACTTTTAAAATGCATTTTCTAATAATGCATCTCTGAACGCTTCATTAAAAGGAAACTTAGTCCACTGCCTAGTTTAATGTATTTCTTTGCACTTTCCCTTTGCTGTGACTTAATCTTAAATTACTCAGGTCCGTTATTGGTATATATTTGAAAAATATATACGTTTTGCCTGCAATGCTTATAAATAATTTTTTAAATCTCTGCTTAGTTTACAAGGATATGATCCCATAGTAAGTATGAGCCTTGGGTTTGAAAATAATTCCTTATAAAAACCTTCAACTTTTTTTTTTTTTTTGGAACAATAGAAACAGCTCTTTTATTTTAGCGTCTATTTGAAATAGGCTTGGTAGCAGTACATGTTAAATTTGAAAAATGTGTATTTTCATATGAACAAAAAGCCCTGATGTTTCGAGGTTTGGAGCTTTGCTCTCTGGTTTTTGCAAATATGGTTCACTTGTGTGGAAATATTAGCAGCTATGGTAACCATCACTGTAAGTGTCCTTTGATCTTAATTTCCCCACTCCACCCCCTTTTTTGGCATGAATTGCTGACTTTTGTGCTGCTTTTACAAAGCATTTATGAGGCCTGACTTGTACACAAAATGTAAGAAGGCTTTAATTTGCTAGAGACTTGATGAAAGATAATTGTTTTTAGGTCGTACCTGTGATCAGTGCTGCTCCAGAAGGTCAGCTAAAATAAGATTTTTCTGCTAGTTTAAAGATAGCTGCTAGGGACTTAGCTGCTATATGAAGCTATAACTATCAGAAGCATAAGGACAAATCCTCACATGGTTTTTCATTATATGAGGTGGGGCGAAAGATAAACATCACAAGCCCATATTGACTGATAGGAACGTACCTAGTTGGCAGTGTCAGTAGCATGTATTTGCAAGGGGGAGTCTCCTCGCCCTTAAGATGTCCTCAGCTGCCAGAGAGGATCCTGGGGAGGTGACCGTGGTGCCTTGGGATGGCTCTGCTCTTCACCCACCACCAGCAGCGGGATTAACGTGCTGAGGGCCTTGCTTCAGTCCCACGGTGCTCTGGCATCTGCAAGCAGCTAGAGGGAATGAGTTAAGACAGTAGAGAGTTGGGCATAGTAGTGGCTGATAGAGAAAGTGAGGTGTTCACCAGCAGAGAGTAGAACAGTCTTATGAGTTTAACTGCAAAATAAGGGAATAATTTGAGGGGCAAGGGAAGGAAGTATGAGTGGTAAGTAAGAAAGCATTTGAGAGCAGCAAAACAGCTAACTGGCAGTACTAAGTGAACAGACTGCAGCCTACACAGACTTTTATAGCTGTTCTAAAATCACTGGGTCCCAGCGAAGCTACGTGTGGTTCTGAAAGCTCCTCTTTCTCATACCTCTGGGTCCCTGGGTCCCTGCAAGTGTATTTGCCTCTGGAGTCGCGTGAACTTACAAAACAGAAGTCACCTTTCTGCTCTTTCTGTAGAGCCACTTGTGCTGTTGGTGCCTGGTGAGCCTGATCCTGAGTCAGGTTCAGAATGCTAGGCAAAGCAGTAGGAAACATGATTTCCAGTTGTTGAACCTGTGGAGGTTTATTGCGTTGAAGGCCTACCAAAAACTCCTGAAGTGCGTCTAACCGGGTGAGTGCAGGAACCTCGTGCAAACTCAGAAACCAAAGCTGTAGTGCAGAGATGTGGGTTTGACACGAGCTGCTGCAGTCTGGCAGCGGCATCGCGGTGTCCAGAGAGCCCAAGGCAGTGAGGAAGGGCGCCAGCCAGGCTCAAGGCCCCGGTAGCTACAGCTGCAAGGTAGCGCTGCATCGCATGGCCTCATTCACCTGGGAGTCCCCGTGCTTTGCTTCTCTTCCGAAACACAGACGTGCAGGAACCTGACAAAATGTGCCTCGCCCTGTTCCTCATCCCACTCGCGCCTGGTATCCCCAGCCTCCCTGGAAGCCTGAGCATCTTGGAATGGGAAACAAACAGACAGCGAGGCTGTGTGTGGCTTAAGAGCTTTGCAGCTCTTGCCCTATGCTTGTGAGAAGCCCCTTGGCTGGGCAGTTCTTTCCGCTTGACATTTCAAGCCAGGTGAAATTGTTTGGGTTCATTTGGATTTTCCAGGTGGAAGCCTGTGTTCCACTTGAATCTCTTGAATTGCTCACTTATTTTTAGCTGACATAAACTAGAATTAAAAGCTGTTGCCTTGTGGTCAGGCAGGACTGATCCAAGAGTGAAGCAAGGGGGGAAACAATTGGTTTTTTTCCACGTTGCCTTTATGAGTGCTGTAACCCTTTCATTTATTTGGTAAGGCTGTCTAAAAAAAATGCACAAAGTATGATTTAGCGCCTGTCAATTCAGTGCCTCTGCGGTGGGAGTGTTAAGGGGATGAGAAAGCATTAGATAGGGGAATGGCTGCTGTGGATAAACATACGGCCTTTGGAGAAAGCATCCGAGCATCAGTAAGGCGAAATGCCGTGGCTTGTGTTCTGTGACATAAACTGTGGTTTAGCTGCCAGGTAGGAGACCACAGCTCTCATTAGGTCTCAACAAACGTGTTCTGGGGGCCTATCTTCTGATCCGAGTTGCCAGTTGCTTTGGTTATGCTTTGATCTTTTTATGCCCTTCCTAAAAGAAAATGGAAATTAAATCAGTCTGGGAACCTCTGTCAACAAAACTTTTGTCCTAGTATGAAAATAAGCTTTTTACTGTCATGACACTTTCACATGATGGCAGTGGCTGTGTTGCTATAAAACTGCAATATATATATTGTGTATATATAATGCAAAACGTTATAATGAAAGCTTCTGTAAACAGAGTTATTCGGGCCAGACATTAAGTTACCTGACAACATAGTTTGGCTTTCTTCCTGCCAGCTTTGAAGTATCCTATAATCTTTCTAAGGCCATAGTCTCCCAAAGGAAGGGGTGTGTGTCGGTATCATATTTAAAGCACTGCTATTCTTGAAACCCTGTTATTAATGACAGTGTTTTTTTCCCCCCCTTAAATCTTCTGAGATAATATTGCATTAGGAACTGAAAAGGGAAGTCAAGAAAAGATTCCGATGGCACATCTCTTAGCCCTTAGACTCGAGCCCGTTAACATATATTTCTAAGACAGAGGCACATGCTGCGAAGGGGCAATTCACTGTGGTGGCCAAAGCTGTTTTTGTAAACTAAACCCAGTACTTTGTTACTTTGAGAGGACCCTTTGTTGTGGAATATTCTGCAGGTGGGCTCTCATGGAAGATGCAACCAAGGGGCAAAATAGGACCCACTCTTTCAGATTAAGAAGATTCTGCTTGGGGAACTTTTCCCCGGATTCCTCTTATAACACAGAGCCACAAATATTTAGTTAAGTGCTAGGTACTGTATTGCAGGATGTTTTTCTTCTCCCAGCTCGCCAAACTAATTAATTTCTCTTAGTCATCAAGTTGAGTACTGAACACAGTCTCACTTAGGAAAACTCTGTTCCTTTTGGAATGGAAGTTAGAGCTACAAATGTTAAGAGTGTTGGAGTACTCGTGGCAGGATTTCAGCTTTTTACCTCCGTTACTAGAATTTCAGTACAGGAGCTTATCTGAGTGGTTGCTCAGATGCATAATGCTGTCAAGTCAGTGGATGCAAACTTTCCAGGGCTTTGGTGTTAACAAGACGTGGTAATTTTGTTCATTAACATGTGCTGTTGTCAACGCATTGCGGTAGCTTTTGACATTGGTATAAATCCTGCAAAACACATTGCTATCTGTTTTATTTTTCCTTCTGCAGTTCAGATGGAGAAAATGGATCAGAGGAAAAAAGAAAGACAGGAAAATCACCTACTATATTGCTGCAGACCCCTACCGCTGAAGTGGAGTGTTTTGATGACCGAAAAAAAGTTGGCGTTGCTAGGTAACGTCAATTTTCTGGTAGCCAGATAATCAGAATGGTTACAGCCCACTGGAGAAGCTGAGAGGCAAGATTTGTCAGACGTCATTAATCATCCCAGTTGTGTTAGTAGCTGTGTGTAGCTAGCCCAGTTGGGCTAGCTTTAAGTGTGCGAACAACAGGGATCAAAGCCCCTTTCCAGGGGCTGTTATATCGTCCACCACTAGCAGTGAGAAGAGGGGGAATCTGGACTCGTGGGTGGACTTTGCTCCCCTGTACTAGAGAAACATATGTTGCACTGGTCGGTGTCATTGTTGGTTACTTTTCACAGCACTTGAAGCCTGAGAGTTAGTCATGTTGAGCTGCAGTTTAACTCCTGGGCTGTTTTTGAACAAGCATTATATCCCTGGATTAGTGATTGTGCCTGGTAAAGCCATGAATCTTAATTTTGGATTCTTTAACTCGAGCAGTGATGCTTCTTTGCACTGTATTTTGCATCAGATGATTGTAATCTCTCTGCAAAAACACTCATTCTTCCCCTGTTGGAGAATTGGAGTGCACTTGAAACTTTCCTAAAACAAACTGGAACAGTGTTAAAATTCTACTTCAAGAACTTGGATGCAAAACTTGAATACCTTTCACTTTGTCGACTGAGCGGCCAATGCAAAAGTCAGTAGTCAATCTGATATTTTGGTTTCAGTCACAAGGCAGAGACTTGGGAAACATCACTTAGCTTTCTGAAATACCCTTTGAGGAAGCATGCAGCTATGTTTTAGTAAACCCTCCTTTCAGTCTCCTCTCTGTCATACAATTCACCCTGCTGGAGAGGGGTTGACAGTTGTTTTTTTTTTTTTTTGGTAAGGCTGTCTATAATTTTTTTGACCTAAGCTTTACATAGTTACACACATACGCATCTTCTATGAGGGACCACCAGAAGCCAGTTTCCCTGCCATCTAAATCAGTCCTGGTGTGCAGTCTCTTTCCTAAATTTAGCTCACCTCTACAACACTTGGGAGTTCTCTCCCTCTCCCTTCTTACAGTTGTTATTGGAAACCCTGATCCTCTCAAGTTTAGAAAACTAAGGCAGAGTTACTGTGGGGGATGAAGTGCAGTGATGGAAACTAAGGTTTTTGTAGCACCTTTCTCTCCCCATCCTACCTTTAGCACTTTGCAGCACATGTTCTTCAGGTCATTCAGCAGGTGAAGCCTGTGTTGTGTTGTTCCTTCTGTTCTTCCCCAGTCTGTATCTGAAAGCCTCTGAAAAAAGAGCTAACTTTTTTTGTAGCCTGTTGATGTCCTTTTGTCTGTGCTATAAATGTAAGCTCTCAAGGATAATGTTCTTTTCCACCTGATTTCTGAGGCAGTGTTATCCCACCTCTAATTTTGTTATGCTAAACAGGCCATGCTGTGAATTTCTGCTATATTTAAAAAAAAAAAAAAAAAAAAAAAGACTTTGGAACAGCCATTCTTGGACGCTTTCTCTGTACTTATTTTATTTCAGAGTTCCTGGGTTTTTGTTTGTTTCCTCTCCCCTCCCTCTGCCCAGTACAAATGGCCGAAGCTCTACGGATACAACTTCTTATACAGCTGGCACGCGTATAATCCCTTTTTGTGTATTGGAAACTTTGTCCCCAGAATTGCTGGCTACCTTAATGATTTCATTCCGTCAGCACTTCATAGCTGTCATCTGACTTGTGCACCTGTATTTCTTCTCCGTTGCACTTTGCAAATGAGTTCCCACTTTGTAGTAGAAGTTCATAGCTTTGAGTGCATTACCTTGCACTCCTTACTACTTTTATCTTACTTTCATTACTGTGCTATTAAAGAAACAATATTTCATGTGTCCTAAAAAAAAAAAAACAAGGAACTCTGAGCTAAGATCTGTGATAATTCATCAGGTTGCAGAAATGTATTGAACTTGATTCCTTCTCTGTTCCAACTAGTAATTTGGAATATTCCTTTTAAAATACAAAAAGACCTTCTGTGAGGGCTGATGTGGTTTAACACTGAGGTAGATTCCTCTTGAGTGCTTGTGTAATCCTTGATGAGTCAGATAAGAGTTACGGAAGAATTCATATGCTTCATGGAGATGCCTATCTTGTTGATAACTACCAGGACTGATGAAATGAGGCCGAGCGTATTACATGAAATGCCTTTTTTTTTTTTTTTTTAGGATGAAGAACAGTGCTGATAGTCCACCCATGACAATGGACATCAAGAGTGACTCCAAGATTGAGAGGAAAAAACGTGTCTCAAATCAGGTAGTGCAGAGGATATACTTATTTATATTTACTTAGAAAGAGTAAGTCGATAACTAGGGTGAGAGTCTGAGAGCATCCCCATTTAGCAATATTATAGTTCAATGTAGCATAAGGACATGTGTTCCTTTCTTCATCTGTGTGCTCTACATCTCTGTAGAGTAGTGTAAGGACTCGATAGCCATATGGCAAAAATTGAGATTGATGGTAAGTTGGGCAAAATGAGAAGGTACGGGGAGGAGAGGAAATGAAATGGGTCACTTGATTATAAAAATATCTAATAAGATATCTGTCTTTGGGCATGGGGCTTCTTGTTTTTTTAGCTGAAGGCAAATGCACACTTTCATAAGCTGTTTATGGAGGTTCCCATTGATGAGCCACTGAAACAAAGTAAGTATTAATCCCTTTGTCCTTGCTGACTCTGGAAGATAGATGCTGGTGACATTCAAGAGGCACTATCTGAATTTTAAAAACCTTAAACTCCACTTGCCTGCAGCTGCAAGGCTTTCATCTGTATGCCCTAGGTGTTCTGTTATCATTTTGCAGAATTTTGATGTCTTAAATCATCAGGTACTGGGCATCTTTGGGAATTGTTGCCTGCTTTGCACTTCTAAACAGAGTAGTAATCTGGTGCAACCTTTTGCTGGTACCCAAGTTTGTTACTTAATTAGAACTGGTCAAGTGACTAGGTGTTTTTTGTTGTTGTTTATGCTTTAAATTTTAAAAGCCTTAGTTAGGAGAAGGATTCACAATGTCTAAAGATTCATTTGTTCTCTGTGACAGCTGTAACAAATGAAGGCTACATAGATATGTGTTACAAATGTTTTCTGCAAGAAGGAATATAAGGCAAACAGTTTATGAATGAGATAAATGGTGTGCTCTGTGGCTACAAAGTAAAGGCAGTATTATTTTACAAGTGCTTCTACCTCTATTGGTCCAGACGAATGCTATAGTCCTAGAGCCAAAAGTTTTGAGCCAAGCCTTCTATTTCATGAAGCTCTTTACATTTACATAATACAGTTACCTGACACCTAGTCTGAAGGTTATAGGAAGCTAGTTGGTACTCTCAGAAAAGATTCTTGGCTTCTTGGAGCTGGTTGTATGTTATGTGTTTCAGTCTTTAGTCTTCAGATGTTTTGAATTTAAACTTAGACTTGTGAAACTTTCTAAGCTCTTTGAAACAGTAAGTTTTACTAGTACTCAAGTGTGACAATGTTTATCAGAAGATATAAACCTACATAGGTTATGGCTTTAAAATTAAAAAAAAAAAAAAAAAAAAAAAAAGCTTGTGGTGACCTGAAAGATTATAGACTGTCTGTGTGTTCTAGGTTTTACCTGTGCTCTGCAGAAAGAAATCCTGTACCAAGGAAAGTTATTCCTTTCTGAAAACTGGATTTGCTTCCATTCCAAGGTTTTTGGTAAAGACACTAAGGTTAGTAAAAAATCTTTTTATGTACAGAACAGTAATGCTATTTCCCAGGACTCTGGTCATCGCCAGAAGTTCATGTTATTGCGGAAGGCTAGACTACTGCTAATACTTCTGGCTGACTGTTACTGGATACAGTGACTGTCATGCAGCAATACCAAAAAGTTACTTTAGAGCTGGAGCGCTATTATTACTAAAGATCCATTCCCTCTCCTAAGGGACTCCCTGTCTGGAAAAAAAGAGATGAAAGGAAAGGATCTGACATGGAGCAGTGAGGGCGTTGCCAAGCCCACATAGCAAAAACTGTACAAAAAACACTCTTGGGAAAAGTATGAAAAAGAAGGTGAAGACGAGGCTGAAGAACAAGGTCAAGATGACTGCTGTTGGGCAGCTGGAGGGAAGGGAAGAATCAAGCATGTTAAACATGAGAACAATTACAGATGGAAAAACTGAATCTGGTCTCAGAGATGAGTGGCTAAGGGATACGAAGGATTCCTCTGGCTGCTCCTTCTGTTCCGCATGAACAGAGAGCGGAAAGAAAAACCAATGTGCTAGGCATTTACTTCTGAGCCTAATGTGAAGAGCAGACTACTTTCTGAGTAGTCAGGAAGATGGTAACTTGTTAAATCATTGTATACTCTTTCTCAGTGCAGCTACTGAGACTTTCAAGAAGCATTTTTTACTATAAATGACCTGCTTAAGGCTTAGCCCCTCTCAGGTGAATGCTATGCATACAGATAAAAAGAAATCCTGTCCAACAGTTAGTGTTCTGTTCTTGTTGTTTTGGAGGTTTGGGGCGTTTTTCTTTGTTTACATAAACTCTGCTCTATCTTTGAGCTTTCATTAGGAAATAGAACTTGATTTACTGCAAGGATTTCTTTCTTTTCTTTCTCAAGTACTTCCTTGAACAAAGTTCCTTTTTAGGTCTGGACTCCTGCTCAGTGAATAGGGTGCTGAACTGCACTGTACTTTAATTAAGGAAACAAGTTGAGGAGCTGACAGTATCTCTTTACTCTGCTGTGAACAATTTTGATGGTACACCACCTATTTTCGAAAGGACCTTTAAGAAGGTGAAATAGGTTTGAAGAATGACTAATGACGTTGTTGTTCATAGTGATCTTATGGCTTATTGTGTATTACTGCCCGGCTCAAGAAACTGTAGTTATTGCTGGTTGTCAGTTAATGGATGCTGTTAGTCATCGATAGTGCGTTGATGCAGACGGCATGTATGTCAGTGAAAGCCATGTGGCACAAATAAGGAAACCAAAACTAACAAAGGGTCAGATACTGATACTTGTAACTTCTAGCAGCTATCTTGGCAAGTAGTTTCATTAAAATTGATGAAGTTATTGTCTAAGTAATCTCCTGTTCAGCCCAACTAAATGTAGATGGGTATACTCCAAGCTGAGGTGCAATTTTCTAAAATTCTAATTAAGCTACATAAATACAAAGGAAGTCTAACAAAGCTCTATCAAGTAGAATAGAAAGAACTAGAAAAAGATGTAGAAATATAGTCATACAGTACTAGAAAGTGTTATTTATGGAATATCAAAAGAGTTCCAGATGTGGGGATATATGCATATTTATGTATATGATGCACAAGAGTAAAGGTATAGCAGGGCTGAGCAGGGTAGACTATTTCTAAATATGGTCGCAGTGTTATTCCATCGGTGTTCAACTCTGGGTCCCTGTTTAAAAAAAATACTTGGTGGGGGGAAAGTAAGGAAGGTCACTTAAGGAGTAAACTTGGTCATTCACTCCCTCTCTGTCCCCCATCACGCTCTAGAGCTTTGTTCAGCCACATAGAGCAGGCAAAAATATTTTTAGAAATGTTAGCCACAAAACAGTAAGAGAATCGGAGATATAATGAAAAATAATATAATGGGGGAAGAGGAAATCAAGTTTGACAGGAGGAAGAACTTTCTTAGTAGTAAGGCATGTTGACAGTTGCCATGACACAAAAGCTGTATGGCTTGGAACCTGTAAAACCATCTGAACTTAGCCATAAAACTGTTCTGTTGTGAGAAGTAGCAGGATTACCTGTTCTAATAAATCCTGCACCATGAATTCTTCTACCTACAGAATTTTTGTTATTAAAAGCTTGGGGAGGTGAGGGGGTTTAGGGGGAAACAGCCAGGCAAGTCAGTAGCTCCGAGTCTGCAGTGAAAAAAACCCTGCTCTTTTAAAAATAAACTGTTTCTGCTGTAGGACTGAATAAGCTTTGAAAGACTGCACTGTCTCTCCAGGTAGTTCTGTATTGGCCTGGAATCTTTTTCATGGAGCTAAATATCATCTTACATGTTATCGTTTCCCTCCACGTTGCTTACAGGTAAACCGTATTTCCCAAAAGAATTTCTGCTGCAGAGAAATAAAATACTTTGCCGTGACTTCCTCATTTTAATCTAGTGCTGGGGTAAGAATGCAGTAAGCAAATACTTAATCCCACTTAAGCACTCCTTTGTCTTGATTACAGTAATGTTATCCATCAAAATAGCATGCAGCAGAATGCCATTAACATCTCTGATTTAAAGTTCTTTGAGGTGAACTGAACCAGTTATACAACTTCTAAGTTGCATTTTTATTATAATAATCATTCGTGGGGTTTTTTTGCTGAAAAAATCTCTCCAAAAGTAGTAAAGCCAGTTCAATTGGCTCGTGATGGTTCTGTGTTATTACTGTCAAAAACACTTCATAGCTGTCCCCTTCACCCTCACCTTCAGAAAAAGGTTTTATAAAAAAGTGTTGCAGAACTTTGTGAAACAAGACAATAGGCAGTGCAAGAAGTGTAGCGGAGTACCTGTTTAATGACCCCTTTTCAGAAGACTTGGCCTCTCAAGCGGAACAAATAAGAGTTCACATATTTTTAAAAAGTCAGGAAAGAACAAGTAGTAGTCAGACTTACAAATCCTTAGACCTAGGCCTTCAAAATTATAAGCACTGGGTTTTAGGTTGGGTAGTTTTGTTTTTGTTTTTTTTCTGTGCTAGCATACTTTCTTAACAAAACTAAATACCAAGTTTCTAGCCTGTAGGTGACGAGAGGAGATTTGGCCAGCCGTTCTTAAAGAGCGGCTGACAATCTTGGCAGACTAAGGCACAGAAATGCTTTTTTGTTACCTGAAACAACATGAGGTAGTTCCATGATTTGACGTTATCTTGTCCTTATTCTTCTGAGCAAAAGTTAACAAAGTTTTACAAAACTGCTGCTCAAAGACTATTTTAACTGACCTGCGTTTTTTTCATTGAGTGCTATGATCACTTACTGATCAATCTGCAGGCACTTCTGTCTCACTTCCAGATTTCTCAGGTCACTGTGACGGTGTACGCTTACGGAATGGTACCAGGAGCTATAGCCCATCCATAAGTGTCCTGGATTGCTGTGTTTGCCTAACTTGCTATCAGTAAGTTCTGGACTTCTTAATTGAAAGTCAAAGCAGCAATTCAGTCATGAATTGTAATGTGGGGTTTACAAGAACCACCTGTACAGAATATCTGCATTGAAATACTCTGAAATGCAGCAGGTAATTTCCCCTGCTAATAGGGTTGAATGTAAACAAGAAGCAGGAAGGAAAATTAAGTACTCTTTCACTGTAAGTGTAGAAAGGCTCGATGACACACAGGGATCATTTTAAATAAGTCAGTGGGTGTGTGGCTCTTTTGAAATACTGAAGGACAAGCTGTTTACTCAGCTGCTTGTTGCAAACTAAGGGCTCTGAAAGTGGGGAGGAAGAACAAGAGTTGTATGGTCATTGCTCAACAAGCATCTCCTGCCTGAGATGTTCTGCAATGTTCTGCTTCTAAACAAAGAAACCTAGCTTTAAGCCTGGTTTGTTGTGCAGGTACATAATGAACTGAATCTGTAGTCTTGTAAGAGCAAAGGGATCAAAAAGAGGAAGCACAAAAAAAAGCTTGAATTGGTATCTGATAAAAATAGAAGTAAAAACAGTTAAGAAGTAGTATTAGTCTAAAACCATACCTGCTCCATATGGAACGTTAAGAACAGGGACATAGGAGAGAAGTCTTTCAATGAAGAGCGTTGAGAGTCTGACTTGCCACAGTTGGTAGGTCGGGCTCCTTCTGAAAGAGCATTCAGACTAGTATGCTTGTGTTGTGCTGAGACTCTAACAGTATGATGGTCTTGTTTCAGATTAGTATACCTGTGCTCTCAGTGACACTATTAAAGAAAACCAAAACTGCCCTTCTTGTGCCAAATGCTCTGATCATAGCAACGGTCACAGATAAAGTAAGTACTGGAAGGGGGTAAAGCTGTCTTACCCTGTCTGCTTTCTTTTTCTTTTTTGTCCTCTTTCCTCTACTTATTTGCAGTTGTCATGAGGGATTCTTGAAGGTGCCAGGTGCCATTTTATCCAAGCAGAGGACTGGCCATATGTGGCTGTTTAGACTGAGACCCCTGGAGGATTTTTAGGATGTAATTTGGGCTTATTCTGCCCTGTTCTCTCGTGACAGGCAATGGCTTTTTTTTTTTTCCTCCCTTCCCCTAACTCCCTGTCTCTTTACTGTAGGTCCAAAGAAAACAGAGCTATGTAGAACTTTCTGAGAAAATAGGAAAGGAGATCTCTGGACACCACCTGTTCTCTAAAATTCATCCTTCCCTGTTCTCCAAGACTGCTGATTGGTGGCAGTGAGGGAACTGAAGCAGCTGGTCCAGAAAGCAAGTGCAGAGAGAGTTACCTGCCCAACTGGCAGCTCTGACAATATGCTTGATTTTACTTGGGTCTCTCATCTGATCAGTGATGCCATAGATGCAACACACTGTAGTGGCTCACAGTGATAGTCAGGAGTAGTAATTGCATCAGTCAGGAGAAAACCTGATCACCCTAAGAGCAACTTTAGAACCAGTGGTTTGTGAACAAGGAGAGGATGTACAGTGACTTGTGTTTTGAAAGGGACAGGGAAGACATAGTGCATAAAGTCTTACAATAAACAGAGCACTAGGCTATGCTCTAGGTATTACAGCAGGGCATGGGAAGTTCTAATGTGCTTTTTTTTCTTTTTTGTTCCTTGTGATTAACCTCTGTTTATAGGCTTAGTGGCAATGACTGTTTTCTCTGCTGTATGATAGTCCTTGAAAATAGTTACCTGATCAGCAAAGCCACATATCACTTTTACTTAGATAAAAGGAAGTTTTTTACTGTGTGCCTTTTCTCAAAGTTTTGCAACTTTTGTTTTTTCAGTACATGTTTGTCTCCTTGCTCTCCAGAGATACCACCTACAAGCTATTAAAATCCATCTGTAGACATCTTGAGGTAAGTACTAATGAAAGTGAAGATGATATATAGATTTATGTTCGTACCACAGCTCTTCTGCTCCTAAAAGTTAGGCAGTTGCTAACTGTGTTCATTGTTAAAACTATTTTTTCAGGATACGAGTGTCGGCAACAGCCCCAATCCCTCTTCTGCTGAAAATAGTTTCAGGGCTGATCGTCCAACTATTCTGCCTCTGGTAAATGACTTGAGTGTTTGTTCTCTTGTTGCATGGCAGCGTTCATTTTAAGTCCTGTTTATAATATTCTAAACTGAAGCAAATCATGCCCTTCTTCTAAAACTTCCATGAGCTTTTCAGCCTTGGGAAGCAGTGGAAGTGATTAGCATAGATGTACTTTGATCTGATTAGATGCAGTATATGTGCACACATATGCTGTTTCTAGCAGTCAAGTTTCAGTGCTCCGTACCAACTTTTGGTTGCTGCTTCCCCTGCCATGGATGACAATTCGTCATGGCTTTTGAAGTGTTTCTAGCAGCAGTCCTTTTTTCACAATCCAGTTCAAACAACTGAAAGAGCTGTGTAGCCATGTGATGACCAGAGTGTAACTTAACAGTCTTTCTCTTGCTGACGTACCTAAGCTTTTCACCTAATCTAAGGTAGGGGATGAGACTTGAGCTCGAATTCTGGTGGTCGTAAAGCACTCGTTGTGCTAACTTGATCTCAGCATCTTGATATCAGAGCTTATTGCTGGCCAGCCATTTTTAACTCTCTAATCATTGCTTCAGTTTCTCAAGTGAGGTCAAAGGAAATCAGGCTGTTTAGATTTAGATCAGGGCTGATCTTTCTTGTGACTTATTTCCTATCAGGATTTCAATGAAGACTATTCTGATCTGGACGGTATAGTGCAGCAGCGGAGGCAAGAGATGGAGGAGTCCAGCAGTACAGGCTCCCAGACTCCAGAGCTGGAACACTTCCAAGGTGAGAGGGGTTGTGAGGCCTGAGAAAAGAGGAATAGCCTAGCTCTCAGTTTTGCTTCTGTAATCCCCTTCTGAGGTGAAGGAGCATCTGAGTTCACAACAGTCCTGGAGAACTAGTTGTATTTTAAGGTCTTCCTTGGAGCCGCAATAGCTGTGTTTCCATCACTGTACACCTGCCTTATTAATCCAGAATTAAGTAACGATCCTGTCAGCAGCAGATCTGGTTCATGTCACTGCTGCTCCCAGTTGCTTATGCATGCTCTGTCTGCTCCCTACCATCCCAGGGGTTTTACCCTATCACTAATGCCAGCAGAGATGTAATGTGAGAGATGTTCATCCTTTAAAGATGAAATAAACTATTAAAGAGTAATTCAAGTCACAGTGTAACTTCTAATCCATTTAAACAACTTTACGTAGAGGTGGGTTTTGATCATCAGGAAAAGTTATCTTTTATCTGTTTGGGGGTTTTTTGTTTTGGTCTTTGCAGTCCTTAAGACACTTGAAGATCTTGTCCAAACTGACATTTTTAACGTGACTGTAGTTTTAAATAGCTCAAATTCTTCACCTGCTCTGCCATCATGCTACGCAGAAAGACATGGCATATGAGTTCAGAAATATGGCAGAACTTGTTTTGTGGCACATACTGAATGTCATTAGCAGCAAGATCCTAGGGTATTATTCCATTTAATATGTTAATACACACTAACATGTTGGTATTTCATTACTTCAGGTTCTATCTTGACTATAAAAAAACTTCTATATTAGAAGCTTGTCCAAACATTATCAATCCTCTCTTTCTTAAATAGCAGTTTTTAGTTGGGTTCGTTCTTTCTTAATCTTTTTTCCCATGTCTTTTGTTCAGCTCTATGATTTGGGGTTATTTGCTTTCATTTGTCCTTGGTATATACTGGGTCTATATAATAATTTGTTGGTGTTTGCAGAGCAATAACTAAATTATGCTGACATTACTTGCTAAATTAACACTTCTGAATAATTATCTAACTTGCTGTCTTGCTTCCTTAAGGCTAATAACTACTTCAAGCCTTTCTATCTTCTTTTCCCTCCAAAAAATACTCAGCTAAAAATATCTCCCTAAGAAAAGAAATGAGCTGGGGGAAACCCGTCAGTTGTAATTCTGTTTTTTTTTCATCACGGCGACGGTCCTAGATATGCAAGGCAAAACAACAAAACAAGTAAATAAAACGGAATGTGACTGGATTTTTCTGTCCTATCTCACCTGGATGTCTTTTGCATAAAATGACAGGAACTGGAACTACAATTTTCTTTTTAAAGTAACAATTTGGTATCTCCATGTGAAGTCATTGAAGTTGCTTGGCATCATCACTGCAGCACGTTCAGTCCTTTTGAGATGACTTTTGTGTCTGTTTACAGACTTACTTTTAGCTTCCTTTGATTTCATATTTCAGCTTTATTAAAACTGTTGCTTTTGACAGATTTTCATGTTGTTGAGACACAGACCCACTTGAAAGTTTCCAAGACTGAGGCAAAGTCCGTCCGTTCAGATGTACACAGTAAGCGTGTACCTGAAGGAAAAGCCAGGAACACTCCTCGAAATGGTAAGGAATCAAGGGAAGATCTTCAGCTGGTTAGTTAAGTCCACATAGATGTGTTAGTTCACATTAGCTATGGGCAATCTTTCCTTCTGTTCATGTAATTTGTTGCATGCTTCCTAACACCATTTGTCTGCTTTGGTCTGCTTTGATTAAAATGACGCTTTGTTCTTTTTCTAGCAGGTCATTCTGAAGCCTTCAGGTTCTTCCACAAAGTGAAGTCTCAGAACCTTTTATCTCTGAACCAAATACTTATATTCTATGCAGTTCTGTAAGTGAACAATTAATACCAAGACTGTCAAAATATTAGGATTTTCTTATATTTACATAGATTAATACTATCTAAGTCTCACTTGAAAAAGAGGAGACTGAGGGGGATTGTGGCCTTCATACTTTCCAGAAGTAGAAATGCCAGGGCAGGCTTAACGAACCTTTAACTTGCAGAAGCAAAGGGTATTTTGGGGGAATGTTAAAGAGTTTAACTACTTGCAAGTTCATTCTAAGTGGCATTAAACAAAGCAGTACTACACAGCTGAGACTTTCAGAGCTGCCTGAGTGCCACTGAACTGTATTCCTGAGGTGTTTTTAAGAATGACATCTTTGCAATACAGGTACCAATATTATTTAAGTGGCCTTTACGGTTGAGCTTGTCAGGTACGTCTCAAGCTTCCGTGTCCTTACGAACTCAGCTGACATACCTTATTTTTCTTCTCTTACAGTGTCTGTGTATTAATATTTTCTACCTTCTACATGAGATACAAAATCAATGTCCTAGAGGAACGTCTTATTTCCATGACATCCTTTGACTCGCATGTTAAGGAGTAAGAATACCCTCTGTAAAATTATTTTTAAAGAACTTTTTTTTTCCCATTATCTGTCACGCTCATCTAACGTTCTTCAGAAACCCTCGTGATGCTTGATATCTGTACTAGCCACATCTAATAGCTTTCTGTTTGAGACTTAGACCACAACACATCACGCTTGTACTAAATGACTGCCATCAGCATGTTTCAGATAGCTGTAACTTCATGAAGTTAACTACTGAAATGAGCTCCTTTTCAGAAAAATGATTTGGGGCGGGGGATATAACTTCTGTCTTTAATGTCACTTGATTAGCTTCAGATGATAGCAACCACTTCATAATCTTCAGGCTAGTTAATCTACCTTGCTTGTATAATGTTTTCTAAAACTTTGGGCTACCTATGTTCTCTCTAGAAATTGATGTCCTGTCTCACTAAAATTGAAAAAAAAGTTCTCATGTTGACTCACAGCACATAAGAAATACTCGAGTTGCTTGTGAAAAGTCAAGATCCTCTTAGTGCCCAGGAAGACTGAGGAGGGAGCAACGTAGGACTGCTGATGTTTTCTTAGATGTCTCCCAGTGCTTATTTGATAGTTCCATTCTGTAGCTGTGGGCAGAGCCCAAGTCACAGGTGTGAATCTGCGCATCCCCCCTCCCCCCCCCCTTTTTTCTTTTTCTCCATGTTGTACGGACAGGAAATCCACAAACAGGTAGCGCAGAGGCATACAGAAATATGCCACTGTAAGTTGTACCAGCTTCTTACTCTTTTCCTAGGACGGAATATAGTTCAGCTGGACGCTTGCTGAGAAAACTAACCAGTTGCTTTAGCATTGAATTTTGAGTTGGGACGCTTGCTGAGAAAACTAACCAGTTGCTTTAGCGTTAAATTTTGAGTTGACTCTTCTGCTTCTTGTAACTGATATTTTCTGAGCTGCTCTGAAAAACATAGCTTAAAGCTTTTTGTGCAAGTTTCATTACAAGACCTGCAGCCACACATAGTGGGAATGTTGACACAGCCAGCCAGCTGGAAAAGCACCACTTTGAAAACCAAGGAGAAAAATAAAATTCAAGCTAGAGCTGTACCCAGGCTAGGTGCAGTTGCCCACTAAGTGTTTCAAACTTGCTGCAAGTTCTTCAGTAAGGTCAACAATCCATCTGTGTGACAGATAGGCCACTCTGATGACATGCTCTCAGTCATGTTAAGCTACCACTGTGCTGCTTAGGATCCAGTTGCTCTCGGCTATATTGTGTGGACAGCGCTTGCGCGTATATGCCAGAGGGCAGAGCCAGGCTCTTGATATCCAATTTAAAGAAACAGGAGGGAAGTGGTTCTTTATCTGAAACAGGCTTGCATGTATATTTTATTACAGTGCAGGGAGAAGGGTAAACCTGTCTAATAGGAGGCAATGTTAAAATCTATTTTCTCACTTCTGTCCTATTTTGATTAACAGGATACTGTGGCCCTCTTCTGAAGCACTGTTTTACTAACAGGAATCTCCTGTTTTTTATCATTCTGATCCCAAACAGTACGAGACAGAGGATGATCTCATGTGCCCTTTTACAGTGTCAAGGGGTTGGGCTTTTTGGTTTCCTCTAAGTCACAAGACATGGGGAACTTACGTAACTTTTCAACTTACTACTAGTAGGAATAGCTGTAAAGTTTTCCATCCAAACTTCTGGAGAATGAGACCTCCCAAAGAATGTAGTCAAGAGTGACTTAGGCGTGTGTTTCTGTAAACAAGTAGAGTTCACAATGTTACCATTTAAAGTATTTCTACATGCATCTCTGCTGTGTTTTTCCTCTTTTCATTTTCCTCACACTTGCTTCCTTTTGTTTGACAGACGACCAGCGCGCCAAGGTTTGGGATCTCATCTGCAAATTAATGCTGATGCCCTCTGTGATGAGTTAACTGCTAATCTTATAAAACTGGAAAAGGTAACTTTATGATATGAGTCAAATGCTGAAACACTAATCAGGTTCTTGCAAAATTTCTACAATTCCTCACACTGAAAAGTGCTGAATGACTTCTAGATCTGATACCAGGAGCAGCATGTTTTCCTACCAGAAATGCTGTTATTGGACTGTAAGTTAGCCCACATACAGGCACTGATACATGTGAAAGTTTTTCCTCTTATGACAGGCTGAGGCTTAAGACCAGGAGTGCTAGTAAACTGGACACTTAAGGGGTGATGACTGCATTTAATCATCTTGATTGTGGTCCACCAAGGCTAAGGATTTGAACTTAGCTTTTTTTATTATTATTTGATGACATTTCCTGTGTGTGGCGTTGGTTTATTTGTGGGTGTGGGGTTTTTCTGCTTTTAAAGGATGGGGTTTTCATATGTAGTCAGCCTCTCCATACAGAGTGGCTGGCATCTGCCTGTTTCTCTTCAGTAACACAAACGCTGCTGTGCCAGCTGTGTGATTCCCTGTAACTGGCCTTTATTTTTTGTCATTCTCTAATCACAAAACTAAATGCACTTGAGCTGGATACCTACTCAAAACAAGAGTGGGTGGGAAGCCTTATTTCTACTTTAGGTGTCAAACATACCCAGAAGTTTTGGGGAGGAGAGGGTGCCACTGGCCAAGCATGAAAAAAGGATCAGTGGATTAAAAATAGTTATTTGAATTGCTATGCACTTAAATCATGTGGGATATTTTTGCCTCCGTTTCTAAAACTGAGTGCTTGCCAAGGTCTTTCAATACCTGTTTCTCCCAAAGCAAATTTCTCAAGTTGCATGAGGCTAAGATTATATAATATCACTGTTTACTGTGCTGCAGAGATTTCATGGCTCTGCCAAAAATCAAATGGGAATCCTTCCCTTCACCACCAACCCATTGTCTATGGAAACGTGGAGTAACACTGACATAACAGCTCTCTATGCTCTGGATAATAACAATATGAATGTGAGGAAAAAATGCTTACCACGTGATTGCCAGATACTATCTTTAGCCAAATTACGCCATTTAAGGGATTACTGCCTTCCGGCTGCCTAGGTCAAGCCCTCAGCTGGCAGGATGGTTCATGGGAGATGTTCATTTCAGTGGGAAGCTAGCCAGCCTTTTGCAGCAGGGCTAAGCCCGGTCACAGTCCCTTATATAGTCTCTGCTGGGAGATGCAACGAAAGGCAGCTGGATGGTAGTAACTTTCAGCTGTTCCCAGAGAAGTGGCCTTCTGTCCTGAATTACAGGGACTTAAGCCATGCGCTTTGCTCGGTTAGTGTCCAAAGAATTGAACCCTTAAATAAGTCTTAGTTTGTCTTTGCGAGATATTCTAGGCACTATCAACTGCTGGTGATCTAAGTTAAATGGATATTGCCTATAGCTGCTTATTACCACATCCTGGTCCTGTCTAATCTGGATCAGTGGTGGTTAAACAGTATGCCTGCCCCTACCCTTGTACTGCAAAACTGGTAGAAATCTAAGACTCTAACAGCCTTATGTTCTCTGAGCAAAGCTACTGCAATCACTGTACCTGTGTCTAATGTCTTAGTGAAAAGTGTTAGTGACTGGCTTCAGCAGTAAAGCTAACATGAGAGTTTGTTTAGCATAACTTGCCTTCTCTCTCCCTCCCCTCCTGCACCACTGCAGCATTGAAAACTAGAGCACTATAATGATCTGGGTTAAAAACTACCTATTACTCTCCAATTAACAAATGTTCAGTACAAAATTACGTTGCAATGACTCTTTCAGTGTGACCTTGTGATTTTTACCAGCTGTACTCCATACTTGGAACCAAGGCACTTCCATGGCTTAGTAGAACATTGCTTTGGCATTTGAGTGGGTTTTTGTTTGGGGTTTGCTTTTTTGACAGGCATCATCATTTTACGTTGTTAAAATGAACTGGGTGAAGGGTTAAACTGGAGAAGACGGAATGTGGCCTTAATGTGACTTCTTCCCTTATCCTAATGTATTTAATGAGAAATGTATGTGTAAGAGTTGATTGAGGCTTATAAAATTAGCTGCTTCTTACTGTTCTCATTTCTCCCAAATGTCTGTCTTGGAAAAGATGTGCATCTGGCTAGAAGTCATGACACAGAATTAAGAAATGGCATCCTTGAACACAAAGTACAATAGCTCCTCAAGTAACTTGAAAGTCTGAAAGTAGCTGCAACTAAACCTTCTGTAGACAGTGATGGCTAGTTACTGAGACACAGAACACGTGCTATGGGATGTGGCCTGCTGTATCCCTTTCCCCCTGCTTTTAGGGACAGGGGGATGGAGGGGGAGAAATGGGCTGTGTAAAACAGATCTGTGCAAATTATCCTGAGGATGTGACTGCCTGGCTGGCATTGCCTTCAGCTGAATTGAGAGAAAGTGAGTAACTGACAGTCAGTGCACTAAATCTGGCACATGCAATATGCTTGCTCATGAGAAGAGCCTATGTTGCTGCACACAGGTCGTAGCCTGTGTAGTTGAAGCTGTTGTAAAACTACTTGAATTACCCACTTAAACCTAAAAGTTGTGATTTTTGAAGTTTGAGTCTTTTATGGAGGTTCCATCAGGTCTAAAATACTAGGGGGTTTTATCTGTCTCTTTATAACTCTAGGGTGTATGGCTTCTGGTGTTTTGGGGTGCTGTGTGTGGGTTGGGTTGTTTTTTTTTTTTTTTTTTTTTTGTGTCTCTACCACTCTCTCATGCCTAAGGAAGAGAAGGATCTACAAGGGGAGATTGCAGGAGATAATCATAAGCTACATCACCTTGATTTCAGTTGCTCAGCTAGGCAGGCTGCGGGCTGATTGCATCTAGATGTTTTCTTTGACCCTAGCACAGGAAGCATTTAACACGCATACCGTGGGCATAAATAGCTGTGACAGAATGCCTACAGAGAGAGTACTGAAAAGAGTGCATCTTGGTGCGTGTTTGGTTTTTTTTAATGCAGTATGACACTTCCTGCCTCCCAATTGTTTTTTGTCTCTTTTCCTAAGATACAGAACAACTTACAAAGACTGCTTGAAGATGGTGAATGAAATGTTGATGTTCTTGGACTGCTTCAGACCTCTGTCTTCTGCTCCTGACAAACAGTTCCAAAAGAGCTCTGCTGGCCAGAGCTCAAGCTTCTTATTTTTGATCCAAGCCAAGTTAACTACTGTATATCACATTTCATAATGTAGAAAGACAGTCTATTCTTGAGGAATTACATATATTTTGAAAATAAGTTTTCTTCTCTATTGATGTACAAAATAATGGGTTTTATAGCTTGTTTGATTCTAGACTTGCTTTACACCACTGTAAACCTGGTGTAACTGCATTTACCTCAGCATCTCTTTTTCTGTCCTTTGTCATACAAGCATAAATGGGAAGAATTTCAGTCGTTGACCCATCATGTGCAAAAGTATGTTGTGTGAATGAGCTAGGTATCTGTCTCACAACTGTGGCTCTAAATCAATGCTGTGCTCTTGGTTTTCATGCCTTTCAGACCTAGCATCCCAAAGATTGGGGAACAGACGTCTCTGGATTTAATTCTACGGGGTGCTGAGTGTTCAATATGTGCTTAGTTCTCAGGTGCTGTAAATAGGCTCAATTCTACTGTCTGTGGCACTGCATCACTGCTGAAGGTGAGGTCTGTTGCTACTGAGTATTCAATTTCCATTGAAGTCAAGCTTGAGATAAGTACAGACGCACCAACTTAACAATCAAACTACTTGTAGTTAGCAGTCTGGCTGTGACGTATCTGCACAGCTTAGAAAAGCTGCTACATTTTCTGTCCACTCATACAGTCTCTCCATTAAGTTACTCTGTGCTAAGAGCTGCAGTCAGCATTTCCCAGAGTTACGTGAAGTCTTGGTTGGCTGAGCGAGTGCAATTCACGTTCCAGTTAAGGGACATCTAGTCCTTGTCTGTGACTCCAGAGACTGGATGTTTCCACATAATAGGAACTGGTGAATTAGTGATGTAGCATTAGAAAGAGTTTCAGTAGAGTGAATGAAAGAATGTGGATGCCTGCTTTATTGTTTTCACAGTGCCTGAGATGGGATAACTGCTGATTTTTAGCTTTCTGAATCACCAAGCAGGCTAGTTAGTTTTAAAAAGCAATATTTAGGATTATTATCAATTAGTATCTGTAAAATAACAGCATTGTTTTTATATGCTATGCATTCTACAACCATTTCTGTGAAATGTATCTTTTGTTTAAATAAACCGTTTTTTGTAAAACAAATGACTCGGGAATTACTTTGATTTGGGTCAACCCAATTCCATCTATTTTAGTGAAATGTGATACTTGGGATCCGAGCAGGCTTATACCTCACAGTACAAAGCTTGGCTGTTCCAGCAGGCAGGAACAGCTTTCTGCTAATGCTTGCTTTTACCCAGCTATACTCTATACCTTCCCAGACTGCGGAGACGGACCAGTAGGAGCAAGCTTGCCTCCTGGAGTTACTCACATTCCCTATGAACTCAAGCAGACTTGACTGTTCTTCCTCTTACAGTCTCTCTCCTTCCTTTCTCAGCCAGCTTGGGATTACTGGAGTATTCATGTTTTTCCAAGAAAACAGTTGAAAAAGCTGTCTTTTCTTTTCCATACTTTGCCCTCATTGTCTTCTGTTAGTTCCATAGCTTGTACAACTTTCTGGACTCTTACCTCGTCCTCCTTCTCTACTTCCTTCCTTTTAATATTTCTTTTAATAACAAATATGTAGGCTTTTTTTATGGCACTTTAAAAAGTGAGGCCACGTATCCTCTCTGTCAAGGGAACCTGTCAGGGAATCTTGACTGTCCACCAGCTGAACCAATCGGCCTGTTACTCTGCTACATCAGTGAGGATGGTGCTTTACTCTAACAAAACAGATGGAGGGAGAACATTTGGCAGGTACTTTAGGAAGTAAAGGCTGAACCCCTATCATTAGCCATCAGTAAACAGAGTAATAGCAAGAGTGAGTGAGCAAGTAATCCAAGGTAGATGAGTGCCCTTTAGCCTGCATGGCAGTGTGCCAGGCGCCCTGACTCTGGACAAAGGTGAAAGTCTTTTCAAGGGAGGAGAAGCAAGTTGCCCACAACTGGGGATCATTGCTATGTGGCTGTTGGAGCCTGTGGCTCTGTGTTCACCTCAGAGCTCGTTTCATGTGGCTGCATTTTCTCAGCCTTGGTTCGTACCCTCCTCATTTTCCTAGAAGTAGGATGAGGATGGCCTCAAGGATTTAGCACTGTTCAGAATGGCTGGCAATATATGATACCTCTCCCAAACTGGGAGACAGAGACCGCACAACACCTTGTGGGAGTAAAGTTTAAAAGTGTGGTTTGAGCCCAGCAGTCTTTTGCCTTAGTCCTGCTTGGAGGGAAGGATGTGCCAACAGCAGTGACAAGCAAGGAAAAGCTGCTCCAACTGTGGGAGGAAAGCAAGGAGTTGGGGGCTTCTTCCCTCCCTGCCTCTGAGCTGGTACAAAGAAAGGCCACAGGAGCAGTCTTGCTGGCCTTTGAGGATTAAGTGCTAGTTGGGGAAAGATGTGCAACTTTGGGGAAGTCAACCTACACCAAATGTTTAACACATACAATGTTTCTAACTACTAATTTGCTGTACCAACTGGAGAGCTGACTAAAAAGTCTTTTTAATTGTATCTGCCTGTTGTCCCTAGCAGCTTACAGGCTGGAAAAGATGAGGACTGAGCTTCAGCAGCTGCGAAGCATCCAGTACTGCTAAGTCCTGGCAAAGCACTTTGAAGCTGCAGGTTTAGGGAAGGCAACAGGAGCATATCACTAATGCTTTTTTTTCCCCCCTCGGTGCAGTTGCTGACCTCATTTTTTCTTCTCAACAGGCTTAGTCCAAGTGTCTTCAGTTAACGTGAGTTCTTGTTCTAAGAAAACAAAACAGCTGCTTGATATTCTCCATCTCATAAGAAAATGATTTTGGAAGTAACTGCCAAGACTCTCTGGTTCTGTGAGTGGGCGTTGTAGGTGAGACCTAACTTTTCCACAGCAATCCAACAACTTGAGTGGCCAGGTATTTGCGTGGTGAGAATATTTAGAAGTGCTTTTTCTCCACCTCACTAGTATGAACTAGACCAAATGTTAGGTCCCTGGGAGAAGGGCGGAGGAGGGAACACTGGAGTATGTTAAGGTTTTCTGATTATATAGGAATTCTTCTACCTTCAGGCTCCTGCTAGGGTAGGAAGGGTCCTTCTACCTCTCTTTCCTCTTCTGCCTTCCCACCTATTTTCTTGTGCATCTGCACAAATAGGAGAAAGGAGGGAGGAAAACAAGTATCATGGATTCTGTTGGGGGGAGTGAGCAGGAGAGCTGCTGGGTTAGTTTTCTGCTAAATTAGCCCGCTGAACTGGTGGGGGAGTGGAGAGGAGGGATTCAGTTTTCTGCTACTGCTGGTAAGAAGGAAGCAGCAGCAGCAGCAAATACTCCAAGGAAGGGGTGGGAGGATGAGAAGTCCCCTTTCAGCAGAGTGTGAACTGCAATAACTTCCTGTTAGCATTTGCAGAAAAGTCAAAGGGTGTGTGTGTATTTGTCTGATTTTTTTGATACCATCACTGCTTTCACCTGAATCCTTATGCAGTTGTGTAGTAATGCTCTTCACTTCCTGCTATGCCTATGATTTCCCTTGTGCTCTCATTTCTAAGCTTCCAGCTCACAGTCAGCTGATGAACACTAAATGAAGCTCCAAGTTGGTGCTAGCCTGGCCTTTGATGGCTATCGCTGGGATAGTTCAACTGCAGCTGCTAGTGAGGTGTCACTCCTGAGAACACAGGAGGTTTCACATTTACCGAGCAGGTGTGACATGCAATAAAGATGATGAAAAAGCTGGCTATTTATATAGAGAACTAAGCAAACAGTTTCTTTTGTGCTCAGTGCCTGAGCGTATGCTTTTATAAACAGTAGAGGGATAACTTCAATAACCTCGTTTGAAAGGATTTTTTGCCAGCACCTGCTTTCAGTTTGCTTGGTGAAAATAGCCGAGTCTTTGACATGCCAATTTGCTCAAGTGCAAAAATGGACTAATCTCATTTGGTACTTCTAGGTATATTGTTTGAACTCTGTGAAACTTTTTAGCTAAAAGTTGTTGCATGTAATGAGACTTTACAGAAGTTTTCTGCTGTCCTGGGCTATAAAGTCAATGTAGTCTGACTTTATAAATGTGGAGCTTCATGATGGCCTATTGCTTAGCTAATAGCCACAACAAAATACGGCAATAAGTTTCATTTATTTGCCTCTTAAGTTATTCCCTGTTTATCAATAGCCTCCTTGGGTTTTAAATAATCAGTCAAATCATTATAACTCAACAGCGTAGGCTACGTGCGCTGAGTCAGGAAGATCAACTTTAGGGTTATATAAAAGAACTAGCACTCACAAGAGTTTATTCCCTGAGCTTCTACAAGATGTTGTGATGCCTAAAACAATTCCTATCCAAAATGTAGGCAGAATTAGCTGGTGTTTAGACTTTCTGCTTCCTCCTCTTGATGGTTCTTACTGACCCTCAAGTTTCCATTTAGCCAAACTGGCCAGTGATACTGTGCCTGCTCAGCTTGGATTAAATCTAAAAGGATTTGGGTAACTTGCCTTATGGCAACATGGTTAAGAGCCCTTGTCTACAGCTGCCATGACAGGACACCCTTCAAAGGGCATGGTCCCAAGAAGGAACTGATTAGGTAAGTGCTCTCAGAGTATACCCAACAGGATTGGTATAACTGAAGCTTTTCTATAACCCCATCAGAAGCTTTTCTATAACTATCTTCTGTGTATCTGCTGTCAGCTCCATTACAATTTACATGCAAGTGGTCAGGCTGCAGCATGGTAGCAAGGAGACTTTGAGCAGAAATTCAAGGCAGTTGTATGTTAATGAAGCATTCCCTAGGCTTGTGCTTATAATACCTACAAAGAGTAGAAAAATATTCCCAGTATCTCCTACTGAAGCTACAGCTGCTTTGTATTATGCTTCCCTCCCCGCCCTGCCCAATACAGGGCAGGATTTATGCCAGAAACTTGCCTCCCTGGAAGGTCCAAACCTGTTTCACCATTGTAATCCTTGACAGGAAGGAGAAACTACCCTGAGCTGAACGTCTGTTTACCAAGTAGGCATCTGCGCTGAAACACTTAGAAAGAAATTAGGTCCTTGAGAAGAGCCTCCTCAAAATTAGTGCCCTCCGTGTAAGTTTTCTACTGACTAGGCTTGGCAGTTGCTGGCCTCTGTGAATTCAGTTTAGACAGCAATTTTTCCCCAGTATCAGGTGTGGAGCCTGTGCCAATATGTTTCTATTGCGTATGTGACCTGCTTGCCTTGTGAACTTCTGTACTGAGTTGATTTGGATACCGCTTAAAAGCTCATTATGTTCTTAAAGTTGAAAAGATCACCTTAGCCTTTTCTAGGCTTTATATTACAAACAGCAAGCTCAAAGTCATGACGCATGATGAGGTAGGAAGTGCATCCTGTTTTGAAAGAATAATATTCCATGTTAAACTTCCTAACAAGGATTTAATAGTCTTTGGCAATGCAGGTAGCCTGGGGGTTGGGCTGTACAATAAAGGCCTCTTCAACTGCTGTTCTTACTTAATGGTATTGATAAGGTAATTTTCCACTGAGTAGGCATTTTACCAGTGCTTAGCAGGAGATTAAAGGGAAATCATTCCCGTGTGCTGTCAAGTAAGAAATTAAAAATCAGCTTTTCACACAATCTACAGACAGATAGAGATGAGGGCTCTTTCCATGGGAAAAAAGTAATGAGCAACTTAATTATAACCTTACATGCTGGACCTGGCATGCAGGGCAAAATGTAGCTCTGAATCCTTCCAGCACCTGTGGCTTGCTACCATGCCAGTATGCACACGTGGCTGCATTCTGGAGCGGAAGCAAGGTGAGAAGAAAGTCAGCTTATACTAAAAGTTATTTCCACTACCTATGTAATGAATCATGAACCTTCTCTCCTAGGATGAATTAGTTGAAAAATAAATGCTTTGTGAAATTGGTTTAAAATACTAGGGCCAAGAGATTGCTATTCCCTCCCCTCCTCCTCTCCCCCAGCAGTTTTAAGTGATGCAGCTAATAACTCGCATGAAAAAAAAAATCTAGATTACACAATTTGGAATTGGTCAAGCTTTCTAAACCATGTCTTTCTGATCTACTGTAACTGATAGATGGAAGATGGTTGTTGATTTTTAAAGACTCAAACTTCTTGATTGTGAGAACACATCTTT